CTTTTTTTGCCCTCCGGGTATTTAGCTATAACAATCTGGTAATCCTAGCCTCATCACGTGATAAGAGCTTAGCAAAAGTTCCAAAAATAGGCGACACGGCAAAATTTCAGTTTCAATATGACTCCTAGCGGATTCTAGCGGTTTTTAAATGCGGGTAGGCTAGTGTAGTCTAACCAAAGACATTATAAATATAGACCGAACATCTCATTCATAAATACTCGTTGGTAGTGTATCAAACATTCCAATGTGCCAAACAAGGACAGAAGAGATAGAGAAGTCTAAAATTTCCGACCCAGGCAACTAGGCTCATTTGGATTGTTCTAATGGCCAGTGGCGTATCGTTTTTTGGAACGAATTTAATCAGTGAAGTAAAAGTAAAGTAATTAGTAAAATGTTTACTCCATATTAATATACTACATTAACACTTTTTCGTCAGGTGAGTTTTGTTATAAGGTCTAATATAATAATATAATTAATATCCCACATATACTTATGTTGAAACGTTAGTAGGTAGTTTTCGAAAATCGCTCCAACGTCGATTTTCAATTTAAACTTTCAGTTAATTCTATATAAACTTTCAGTTACTTTTGAATATTTACAGGGTGACTCAGGCTTCCGAAACAGTTCTATATTAGGTTTGTGGTTGGTGACTTTTCTTTTAATTTTTTTTTTCAGAATATGGAGGCAATGGTAAAGCACATTTTAGACATTTTTGTAAACATAGGTGGCCGGAACATATTTTCAAACTAAAGTTGTAGATTTGCCATTAAATTTCCGTTCCAGAAATACCTAGGGTTGCCACCTGTCCTTTTTTGAAAAAGACAGTCCTTTTTTGGACTAACTTGTCCTTTTGACTTTTTTTGACTTAAAAAGTCATTTTTATTTACGTATTTTCCCTGAGAAAATTACCTACAGCAAACAGAAATATTATTTTCGTCCAAATTTAATTAGAGATGTTATAAAACTTATAAATATTTTTTTCTTGTTTAAAAGAGGCAACATTATTTAGAACTTCCCATTTAATCTCAAATGATAATTTAGGTTTTAGTTTTACCTTTTTTGATCTTAAAAAGAACTTTTTAAAATTAGTAATTAGTAACGATTTAGTTAGTTCGCAATCGATAGCTTCCTGTAAAGAACTGTGTAATAGATGTTTAATTTTGTATTATTAATAACTTCCTATACCCAAAATCAATATTTAATGAGAAAATTGTGTTTTTTTGAAAATATAAGACAAGATTTGACTTTCGGTCTTCTTCTTGTATTATGATGGCTCTGATACGCGGCAATTACCTTTTAGTCTCTCAATAGAAGGCATTTATCATTAAAAGTATCAAATCTGTGTGCTACAGTAGGGGATTTCTGTCGCATAATAATGAATATTACGTTTATATACAAATCCATTACTTTTAAAGGTAGCTTCATCAGACAATCAAATTTTAGTTAAATGTCCCAATCTTCATGAACTGTATTAAGCATATGTATTGCGGTTTGAATCACCCCGAGAATCACCCTGTATGTTGACAAAAATATTTTGAAAATGTGCGTTACAATGGCCCCCATCTTATGTAAAAAATTGAAATAAAAATTACAAACCAAAAACGTAATAGGTAAAAAGCTTTTTTGGAAGCCTGGGTCACTCTGTTATTTAGGTATGTATAAAACTAGTAGCCTAAGAATTGTTTACAGTTCGTCCCATTCTAAAAAAAAGGTAAACACATCGTACAATTAACTCTAGGAAGAGGTATTTGTACGGTGGTAAAAAATTGTTTAAACGAGGCCGAAGGGGCAGATATAATAATGCAATAAAATGTAAAAAACGGCGGGTAAACACCTTTGTTTATTTGTTGAGCAAAATTCCTTTAGAATATCGTATATAATGACCAAAATATGACGCAATTTTAAGAAAAAAATGTCACTTTCTGGCTTATAATAAAGTTTCAAATGCAACGCTTATATTCAAATTTGTTATGATCTACAACAGTTAAGTAGTAATTGAGACGAATTATAATTCAATTACCGGCTACTACGTTCTTGTTTTAATAGCTCAAAATTCAACAAATAAAATTAAAAATTATTTTAATTGTGAGAGGCTCCCTTATGAGACGCCTATGTACGGCGATTACGGCGCGGCGGAAACAATACCTACCTGTGAAAAGACAAATTCGGGTAATTTGAGCTTATTTTTCCACACATTTGACACTGTCGTACCATATTGAAAATTCGCAGATTCAAAAGTACGTTAAACAAAAGCAAAAACTACTGAAAAACACTGAAAAGTTCACTTCGAACTTGATTCCGACTTCAATCATACCGTAAGCTAAACGTAGTACGTTATAACGGACCAAGGGCCGTCGCGAGGGGTGGTGGGACGGACGGCTCATTTCATTCTGGAAGATTAGCAGCGACGTTGCCAATAGTTCTAGACGTTTCAGCACATTAAACAGTAAACATGTCCTTTAATAGTAACGGATATATCCTCTGATTAATAACATATTATTACGCATGCTTCTTTAAAAATAAACTATTAATTTAATTAAAAAATTGAGATTTATTGTTATCCGGTGAAGGTTTTAAAGTCACCTTTTCTGCAAATCAAACTAAGTAGATAGGCGCAAATTTGAGATGTGGCAATGTCGCCTTCTCTATCTCAGTTGGTTTTTACAGTACGTAGTCAACCTCCGATTGTTTGATCGGGTTAAAATGTAAAATGTGATATCTGTTCTTCCTAAATCTATGAGTCTAACTATAGGTAGAGTGTTGGTAAGTTGCTCCAAGAAAAACGGTAGTTTATATAGAAATGAAATTTTGGGAGCAAATATAGGTTAATTGAAAGCATTTTATAAAAATACATGGAGTTCTACAGGGTGTCCCCAAAAAAAGTTACGCATCAAAGTTGTGTTTTTTGTAATGGAACACCCTATACATATATTATTTTTTTTTGGATACTATGAAAAAATAAGGGTTAAGTTTTATTCAAGAGAGAAATTCATCTGAGAATGTTTTTTTTGTTTTAACTGACACAAAATGATACCTAGTTGTTGAAGTTGAACTAATTTGGCAGCTATGTTGAAGTATCGTCAGTCAGAGTTTATCAAATAATAAACATCTACTGACACTAAATCATAAAAAAGAAAATATCTAGGAAAATCTTTGTTTGAGGAGTAGACAACCTTAATAGTATATTGAAAAGACATGAGTTCCCTTGAATTCATCTGAATTTCCTTCAATTTCATTGAAATATCAGAATAATATATAATATACTGGATGCATGTTCCATTTAAAATAAAAGAGTAACTTGCTTTTAAAGGTCGCGAATGTTAAATATTAATTTTGTCTCACCCTGTATAACTTTATGGGTCAAGTTTTAATTTGATTTAAAGTTCAACAGTTATTTTAACTATATATTAGGCTATACCGGGTAAATTCCAATTTAAGTAGCTTTTATGGAAATTACAAAATTGTACCTCATTTTTAGAAAGCGTTAAAACATGTCAAAAACCTCACATTTTAAATATATACCTCTCTAATATAACTCACTTTTATTTTTCCCCTAGAATAAGAAATTATTTAATTATTTAAAAAACACACAACTTTGATTTGTAACTTTTTTGGGGACACTCTGTGGAAGTCTTTATATTTTTAAAAAATGGTCAGTATTAACCTACCTATTCTCACAAAATTTCATTTCAATACAAACTGTCGTTCTCTGCGTCGTATGAGAGACGCCACCCTGTATTGTAAAATTGTGGTAATGATGTTATTCCTAAACCAATTACATCCACCCCTACTATTTAGCATCGAAACAAAATCCAATATATTTTTTATATAGAGTTATACAGTGTGGTCCGAACTGTATTCCGCAAATTTCGGCAGCATATTCTTCTACATATAAAAATAAGTAAAAAAGTTCGTATAAATGTATGTCCTAAAAATGTTAAGTTTCGGAGACACAGGGTGTAGAAGTTTTATTTTTATTTCGATTTTTCCAAATAATTTCTGAAGTAACCTTAATATTTGGATGAAAACTGGTGTCTCTCTGTGGAATTCTTTGACATGAAAAATTCGATTTTGATGTCAATATGTCTCCTATTTGTAGAGGGCGCCACCTACATGTGTTTTAGCTCTTTTGAAGAGTAATAACTTTTCGTCCGTACCTGTATAAAACTACTGAGTGAAAAAATATACATTTCCGTGACTTTTTACGTAAAAAATATCTCTTGGTAAAAATCGCTACGAGCAACCGTTCTCAAGATATTTTGAATGGAAATAGTCAATGCATGTCATTATTGACAAAAAATAAACATACTGAGTAGATAGTTAGTTGACTGAAATAATAAATTTCAAATCAATCATAATTTTTTCTGCGAAATAATGATGATAAAAAAATTTGTGTTGAAATTTTGACACAAAAACATTTCAGATTTATGATTTCAGTCTAATTACTATTTAGTCAATATCAGTCAATATGTTTAATTTTTGTCAATGATGATAGGTATTGATAGTTTCGATTCCAAATATCTCGATAACTATATTACTTGAAGCGTTTTTTACGAAGAGACCTTTTTTACGTAAAAAACGTCGTAAATGTATATTTTTCTACTCAGTAGTTTTAAACTGGTACGGACGAAAAGTTATTACTCTCCAAACCAGTTAAAAATATGTAGGTGGCGCCCTCTACAAGTAGGAGTCATATTGACATCAAAATCAAATTTCTCATGTCAAAAAACTCCCAGACACCACTTTTCATCCAAATATTGACGTTACTTCATACATTATTTGGAAAAAATCGAGATAAAAATGAAATTTCTACACCCTGTATCTCCCAAACTAAACATTTTAGGACATACATTTATACGAACTTTTTTACTTATTTTTATGTGCAGAATATGCTGCCGAAGTTTCCGGAATACAATTCGGACCACCCTGTAAATTCTTACGCTTAAATTTAATTTTTGATAAATTTTTACTTTAATTAATAAAAGTTGTTTTCTTTTCAGATTAATAGAAACGCTGACCGGTAGACTCGTAGACAACGGCTTGGATCTACCCCAAAACGAGATAACCGACATTGAGTACTGCCTACCCGATCTGGAATCGCTCAACGATTCCGATAGTGCAGTGGTAATGGAGGACGTGGAATACGACAGCGGGTACCACATACCCAAGTTCAGGTCCATGAGCGCAGATGGCGTGACTGTGATGAGGTCCATATCCGATGCCGTCGATCCTAATTTAAAATATACAAGTAGGAGAAGCAATGGATTTTTAAGGAGGCCTGAAATATTAGAAACTGTATATAGGTATGTAAGTGCTACCACCGCAGGAGGATATCGTAAATAACGAATACATACAAATACGCGGGTTTAAATGGCGAGTAAACGAGAAAATTAGTATATAATTATTCTAAAAGTGTTAGAAAGTATAATTTGTGGGAATTCTAAACAAAAAAATAAAAAAGTAAATATTTTGATATTTTCAGAAGGTCTAACTTGCATTATAATTTATTATTCCAGTTAAAAAAAAATTAGATGCTATTTCGGCTATAACGAAATTTTTTAAAGGTACATAATTATAATTTTAGAAGATGTTCATAAAACATTTAATTACTAGTTGATTAAAAAAGTATACCATTAATATTGGAGAAATTATATTTCATCCTCTCATAGTATATGCAAAGGTATATGTCTATTTAGTTTTTTGATTATGTAACGCACTTTGTTTACTCACTTGTTTCGTCGAACTGCTTGAATCCATTTTTGCTATTGATCTAATCGGTGTAAGAAATTATGAAGCTATAAAATGTTGTTTCGGGAGAGTTGAATATCCGGGAAAGTTGAGTTATTAAATGTTATTACACCCAACAACGCCTTAATTACGTTCTCCTTTACGAATTAATAGTTTTTAGGCAATTTTATTAACATTTCTACAAGTTTACAGCTTAAGTTAAACTAAATAACCAAAAATTTCAATCAGGGAGGGCAGATTAATAACTCTTCTAATGAGAAACCTATCGTCGAACCTGCACCAGCGACATTCTCGACATTGTCGACGAGTGTCGATGTGTTGAGGTCGACAATAAAATTCGTGTCGACTCCCAACTCTGCTTTAGAGTTCGATCAAAAATCTATCTTAACATTAAATTATATGGCATGTTTCCCAAAAAAATCAAACAGCTGTCATTTCTACTGCAGATTTTTTCTCTGATTCGCCCCTAATTATATAGATATACTGAATTATAATAATAACTCCCATTACAGTGTGGAAGAAGATGGGGATAATGACAACCTAAAAGAAGAAAAAACTGAAGCCAACAAACGTCGAGAATCGTTTGCCATGAGAGGGAAATCCAACTGTAACATAGGCTCTAACGACGAACACTTAAACGACTCTATCAGGAAGGAATCTTTAGAAGAAAAAGCTTGCAGAGTGCCATCTTTAGGATCACACAGGTGACAAATTTTACTATATAATTATTCTTGTCATTCAGTGAGTCTTCTAAAATTATCCTTAAATTAATATTAGGCACCGTATTTCACAGATTATAAAATTGTAGATCAAAAATTATCTAATAAATAATACTGGGCCAAATAAAGCGATATAGAATTATATTGTCAAAATTGAATAGTTCTAAATATGTTTCTATTAAAACATAATTTCAAAATTTCAATTGAAATGCAATTGATTGTAAAATACTAGACAGAAAATTATCTAGTAAATAATCGCCGGCTAAATAAAATTTTACCGAATTATTTTGGAGTTAAAATTAGACAATTAAGAGAAGCTACAGATGCCGGACCCTGTATATCCATCCCTATTATGTCAGTTCAAAAGAAAAATTGAAAATGTTTTGTTTCTATGCATAATTTGTTTGAACATGAGACACACCTAATTGATATTTTTAGAAACACACATGGTGTTGAGCTTGCTAATATTTAAGGGGGACTTTTTTTGGACTTATTTTAAGAAAAAAACTTTACATGAATGTATGTTCTAAATTTCTTAACTTTTGAGATACAGGGTGTAATTTTTTTAATGTTTTTATATATCTGATGGTATTATGGGTATCTTTATGGAATTGGAGACACGTTTTGTATGCATCAAAATGCATTTGTTAACGTGCAAAAAATATTTGTTCAACAGAAGAAAAATTGAAAATGTTTTGTTTCTATGCATAATTTGTTTGAATATGAAACACACTTTATTGATATTCTTAGAAACATACACGGTGTTGAGCATGATAATATTTAAGGGGGATTTATTATTTTAACTTTTGAGATACAGGGTGGTATTTTTAATTTTTTTTATATCTGTTATTATAGGTATCTTTATAAAATTTGATACAAGTCTTGTATGCATCAAAATGCATTTGTCGATGTGCAAAAAATATTTGTGGTATCTCTTAATTCCAGCCGATGCAGAAACGATTTCCACACCAATATCTATCTACCCACCCATCATTGTCAAATGTAATTTGTTGTGCTATCTACACAATTAGATTATAGTACCTACGCTAGTGTCCCCTTAATATATTTTTGTAATTTAAAACTGGTTCGAATGAGGCAAAAGCCTAACGCTTTGACCTAACGTTTAAAAAATACAATTTGACATTGACAAAATTATAGGATGACAACTTAAGGTACGTTGGCATTTGCCTGGTTTTGCATTGTTACCTGTTCAGTTTTAATTTAAAAATAGATGCAGTTTTTCTTAAATTACTTAAAATCGGCTTGTCCAAAATTGTTTAAATTTGGTATGAGTATTCAACACTCACAACTTTAAAAAAACCTATTTACGATTTAGCTGTAAAATTAATAGAGCAGCTAATATTTGGACAGTTCAAAATTTGCATGGGATATGTTTCTAACAACGACGCGCCACTCGGTATATTATTGACATACAAGAAATGTGAATATTAAATAGAACAAAATATTTTTTGGGGGAAGGCATATACTACGAGTATTTTCTAATCTAATTCTAGACACTTATTGTATTGCATTTAACTATTTTCCTTGTTCCAGATCACATGATCATGACGATCACAGTCCCGATGAAGACGACGAAGACCGCGATCGAGACCACCAAAAAACCAACACCAATCAAGTGAAAACGTACAACCGAGTCATGTCCAACCACCGATCAGTTACAAAACCGAAAGACGTAAAGTACAAGCGAATCAACAAGGCCAAATCGAAAAGCTTGGAGGAATTGAGGGGCAGATTAAAAAACTGGGTAGAACAAGGCAGCAAACTACCAGGAATAACATTAGAACACAGCCAAAGTTATGCTTAAGGATGATTTCCGATTGTAACTATTGTTCTTAGTAGATTAGGTAGTTTTTGAAAACGTTTGTCAATATATTGTCAAATTATTTGAGAGCCAGATGATGTTAGAGTTCTGGTAAATGCTGTAAATATGTACCCCAAGTATAATTCTCAATTATATTATAAAAATAGACAGTGAGACTACAAAGAGTATATTTCCTAAAACACTGACTATTCAACAGAGCTGATTTAGAAGTTTATTTAACTGTTCAAACCAAAGGTTCTAACCCTCAGTAAATCAACACACACAAAAACAGTAACAAAATTTCTTTCATATTATTACATGTTATGGGGTGTACAGGGTGAGTCAACGAAAAAGTCCATTATCTAATTTGTTTCGAGATTTACAAAAAAAAATGTTAAATATAAAAGTTATAGGGAAGATTAAGATACACATTTTAAAATTATTATAGGTTATACAGGGTGCTTCAAAAAAGTGTGGCAAAACTTTTTTATATACAGGGTTGTTCACCACATACGACACGGAGTATTGTAGCTAAACGATTAGATTTTTACAAATTGTAAGTTTTGGGTTCGTTGAAGGACTATTAGAGCTACAATTTAAAAATATTTTTACAAGATACAGAGGGTCCCAAATAAATAAAAAATATCAAAGTTGTATTTTTTTTTAAATAGAACACCCTGTATATTATTACATTTTTAGTTTCTACGATTAAAATAAAGGTAAATTACCGTCTTTAAAATATTTTCAATTTTTTAAAATTGCAGTTAACATTTTAAGGCTTCATTTCTCCGAGGGTTTCAAAGTTTTCAATGCTAAATATTTACTGAAGTTTATTTTTTGATCAGTTATTGTGTTGCAATAATAAACATTATACTACCTTATACAGAGTATCTAAAAATTTATTTTAAATAATTACTAGCTTTAAACGGCAATAACTTGTTTAATTTTAATGGAACGACCTATATGTTTTATGATAATCAGATGCACAATTAAATTGTCTATCAAATTGTATTATACCATTTTTACCTATCTCTTCAAGTTTCCGTAGAAAATGCATTTTCTTGTAATTTAGAACTCATTTATCAATATACCCATGGAATACTGACATTTTAGATTATTTTCAAAGATGTACCAAATTTTTAAAGAGTACAGACACTAATATTGTCGATATAGTTCCATTATTTCATTAAAAAATAATTAAAAAAAACTGTTTAAATACCGTATGATCGAAAAAAAAACGGCGTTCAGTTGGCTTGGAAATGACGATCGATGACATTTCCCATATATTTTTACATATAAAATGACAGCGATGTTTATTTCATAGCCATCGTTGACGCCGTTTTTATTCGATCATATGGTATTTGTTAAATAGGACCAATTAATATGATTCCAGTATTCAAACTGCATTAATTGACTGTTTGCGTTGATTAATAATAATTGCTCGAAACACCAAAAAATTAACTTGGTATGTGTATTAGACAGTGTGGTAAAAAGTAACACCTTAAAAATGATATTTCATTTTTTGACAAATGTTTATTTATTACAACAGAGACGTTCATTTACATAACTTATTATTATATTGATTTCTGATTCAAATCCACATTGATTAAGAATAATTTATTAACTAACACAATTAAGTATGTAATTAATTAGTATTTGGGCGGAAATAATGGTGGTATGTTTAATTAATGATATACTCTTTTATAAAGATTTAAATAGTTTTCTTTTTGCATACAAATGGGCTAGTACGTACTAGCCTGTACATTTTGTACATTTTTTGCTTTAAAAACAATCTAAAATGTCAATATTCCATGGGTATATTAATAAATGAGCTATAAATTATAAGTAAATGCATTTTCTACGAAAACTTGAAGGGATAGATAAAAAGTGGCATAATACAATTCGATAGACAATTAAATTGTGCATCTTATTCTCCTAAAATATACAGGGCATTCCATTTAAATTAAACAAGTTATTGCCGTTTAAAGCTAGACATTATTTAAAATAAATTTGTAGACACTCTGTATGAGGTAGTATTATTTTTATTATTGCAACACAATAACTGATCAATAAATAAACTTCAGTAAATATTTATCATTAAAAACTTTGATACCCTCGGAGAAATGAAGTCTTAAAATTTTTACTGCAATTTTACAAAATTGAAAATATTTCAAAAACGGTAAGGTTTAAGTGTAATAAACCTTAATCAAATTTACCTTTATTTTAATCGTAAAAACTAAAAATGTAATAATATACAGGGTGTTCCATTTAAAAAAATACAACTTTGATATTTTTTACTTATTTGGGACACTCTGTATCTTGTAAAATTATTTTTAAATTGTACCCCTAATAGTCCCAAAATATTGTAAAAAGGTATCTTGTAAAAAGGTATCTTGTAAAAATAATTTTTAATTGTAGCTCTAATAGTCCTTCAACGAACCCAAAACTTAAAATTTGTAAAAATCCAATCGTTTAGCTACAATACTCCGTATCGTATATGGTGAACAACCCTGTATAATGTTAAATACCTAAAGTGAATAGTTTTTGTACTATTTAAATTTGTTAAATTGTACAAATGTTAAATTGCAGTATGTTAAAAAATTGTCAGTGGTTAGGTTCAAAATTTAGGAGGAGAGTTTTATAATATAGTTTATATATGAAAAAAAGATATAGATAAAATAGAAGATATCAAAAAATTTCATGCAGGCCTGTTTTAATCGTTTGAGGTAAAACAAAGTATTTACAAGAACTCTAACACATCTTTCTTTAAACAATTGAAAAATGTGACATTAATGTAACAGATATTGTAAATAATATAATTATTGCTTTTCTCGCCTGCATTCAATGGCAAACAATTAACCACTTGCCTAAAGATTGTTTTCTGGTGTAATCTCCATTGAGAAACATAACACACCACCTACTGTAACAGAGCCAAAGGCTTTTTTCACTCAAAGATGTATAAAAATTTGTAATTTATAAGAAATTTTAAATATGTACGTATTATATTTTAATGGTTTTTGAGACCTGGTAAATACCTACCAAATCAAAAAAGGAGAAAAATATTAAACAATATTGTAGAGACAATCATAATGTTTAAAAAGGTTGTGATGGTACATTGTATATAATCAAAGAATAAGCATTAATTCTAAATTAAGATAAACGTGCTGAGAAGTTAAAAAACGAGCACTTAGATTAATATAATTAGTGTTTACATTATTGTATATCTAGATATTCATAAAACACTACTAATTTTTTTGTGTACCTAAATTAAACTCACATTAGGTTTGTTCCAACTCCAAGTTTTAGAACGGTTCTGGAACCAACAAACCTATTTTTCATTTCACAGCAGAACTGCAAGCTCACAGAAAACTTAAGTCTTTTTTGATTTAAATCATTTTGATGACTTACGTCATTTGATTTTAAGTCATTTTTTGAAAGCTTAAGCCTTAGAATTTAAGTCTTTTTCAAAATGATTTGTGATTTAAATTTTTATTACAAAATAGAAAAAGATTTAAGTCTTTATATAAAAGGCTTAAGTCAGATGTTTATATTTTTTTTATACATTTTTGACAGCAGCATTCCTTTTTAAACTGTTAGGCGGCAGCCAAGCAGCAGAATAAAAAAAACAATGCTCAATACCACTACCAAATAAAGCGTTAGTTTTTCGGAACCGGCCTTGATTATTTGTCGTGTTACGCGTGCGTAGTGAGTCTGTTGTCTTTCAAGTGAATCCCCGGCTCCGTTATGTAGCCCGAAAGACGAACGAAAGAAATTTATCTCGAATATATTGAAGAGTACTTTAAAATCCTGTAGCCCTTAGCTTATGCTATCGATATATTATATAGTGATCAAAACACATGACCCCTTTTTAGATATACAGTGTGTCAATTTTAAAACTTCCCACCCTTAATATCTTTCTTGCAGTTAAAAATATGAAAAATTGGAAAGACAAGTCAATTTTATTTGGGGACATCTACCCCTCCTAAAGGGCTGAAAGAAAAAGGCCAAAAATATTCATTTTAAGTGTCCCCCTTACAAATAAAATTGACATGTCTTTCCAATTTTTCATATTTTTAACTGCAAGAAAGATATTAAGGGTGGGAAGTTTTAAAATTGACACACTGTATATTCGATGACATTTAAACTTTGTACTGGTTTCTTTGTACTACAAATTTTGTAGTACAAAATCGGTTAAATTTTATAAAAAAACATAATTTTGTGTTTGTAGATGTTCTGAAAATTAACCGTTTTATTTTGTGTGGTTTTAGTCTCATCTGTACAGGGTGAGTCAACAATAGAGTAACCATTATCTCATTTGTTTCAAGGTTTACAAAAAAATGTTTAATATAAAAGTTATAGGGATGGTTAAGATACACATTTTAAAATTATTATAGAGTATACAAGATGCTTCAAAAAAGTGTGGCGGCTATAACATATGTTTTTTTAAATGCAACACCCTATTTTTTATTTTATTTTTAGATTCTGCGTAAAATTCCATAACTTTTTATATATAATGTTATATACCTACAATTAATAGTTTTTATAACATTTCAATTTGTTTAAACAAATGATAAATTGCAGCGTGGTGCCATTGTTTCTGAAGATGGAGTACCAAAATTTGGTAGGACAGTTTTATAAAGATGAAAAAAAAAGATATATGTAAAGATATTTTAGTTAAATGATACAGGGGGTTCAAAATATATTTATGAATTTCAACTACTTAAAATTAAAAAATCTCAAATTTTTTAAATGGGACACCCTATATATTATCATTTTTTCTGATAGTTTGAACAAAAGTCTTCAACTTTTATTAAGTATGTCATATCCCTATTTTTAATAGTTTGCGATTTATTCCCTTTTTTTTCTATTTTTACCCATATTTTAAATACAATTACCCTATATAATCATAGTTGCCATGACAAAACAAAGCTACTTATTACTTACCTTTAACAAGTAGCTTCATAATTAGTTACAATTGCTGGTATTAGTTAAAATTAATTAACTTTACTCAAGTAAACTAAATCGCAGTAGTGAATTTCTTGGTGTATTTCTATATTATGAAAGATGACACTTGGGATTTTTCGTCGGCGCGAATAGCCACAGATTAGGGTAATACTAGATTACCTAATTGCTGAAGACTACTGATATATGAATTTTCTTCGACATACAGTAAAGTTTTTTCTCATAGTAATTCTGGTTTATAATTCATTTGGTAAAGCCAATATTACTACTGCCGCGAAACCGTCCCATTACACACTGAAGATGTTTTCTAGATAATATACATCTATCCTTATAGTAGTTAGCAAAGTACTGTATAATATATAGTACTGAACCAAAAAATGTGGTTTTCTAAGCTTGTCCATGTATATCAATCACATTGACTAATTCATTTCAAGAAAATCTGTAACTATTATCTCTACCATTTATACTTATTACAGCAAATTAAACTAAAATTCAAATTTTGTTTTTAACTTGCTTAACAGACATGAA